GAATCAATAACTGGGACCATTTCTTATTAAAAAGTTTCTGCATATCAAAAGAAATCTCCAGCATAGTGAAAAGAAAACCCACAAACTGGGAAAAGATCATAGTGAACTCCCCCTCAGACAAGGGACTTTTGTGTAAAACATATAAAGAATTTTTTTAAAAAACTCAGACCACCAAAATTCAAAGATCCAATCCAAAAATGGGCATCTGAGATGAATATGCGCTTCTCAGGTGAAGAAATACAAATGGCAAATAAATACATGAAAAAAATGTTAATCATCATTGGTCATTACAGAAATGCAAATTAAAGCCACACTGAGATTCCATCTCATTCCTGATAGAATGGCCAGGATCAAGAAAACCAACAACAAATGCTGAAGAGGCTGTGGGGGAAAAGGGACTCTCTTACACTGTTGGTGAGAGTGTAGACTGGTACAACCTTTGTAGAGGTCAGTCTGGAGATTTCTCAAAAAGGTGGGATTGGAAGTCCCATTTGGTATAGCTATTCCACTTCTAGACATATTCCCAGAAGAACTGAAAGCATCATACCACAGTGATATATGTGTACCTATGTTTATAGCAGCACGATTTGTAATCGCCAGATCTTGGGACACAACCCAAGTGTTCATCAACGGAGAAATGGATAAAAAAGTTGTGGTATTTCTATACAATGGAGTACTACTCAGTTATAAAGAGTGATCACATTGAGGTATTTATCAATAAATGGGCGCAGCTTGAGACCATACTCATAAGTGAAATAAATCAATGTCGCATGTGTGAATGCCGAATAGTTTTCCTAATGTAAGAAATGATTCAAATATATAAATGTACGTGGCAATCATGATTCCCCATTATGTGACCTTGAAGCCTTATAAAGTTTTCACTTATTAATTGGAGCACCTTTATTCTGGGCTTCCTGATATTATTGCCTCTGATGAAATGAACATCTATTTTGAAGGAAACAAATCATCATAATAGCTAGTGCTGATTTACTATCATCTTGTCTTGAAGCCCCACCAAACTATGGCTCTTCTGTCTCCACTGGTTTTATCATGATGTATCTTCCTGGACTTTATAATATGTGATAGTATAAACAAAAATTGTTATAGGCAAAGAGATAATATAGAAACCATTGTTTGTTTAACATTAACTGATTCTAAATACTCTACAATGCTTTCATCCACTTGAATGGTTTTACACTGACTTGATATGTTTGATGCTATTGTATGTGAAGTTATATTCAAATATTTCAAGGAAAAAGACACTATGGTAACTACTATTAAGTCGGGTTATTTGTTGGTGAAGCACTAGGCTGCTGAGACTGTCTTGCTTTGACCTGCATTGTTATGTTGTTATGTCCTCTTTTATTGCAATCTCTCCCTTATTCATTAAAAAATTATTGTTATTTTTTTCTATGATTTTTTTAATTAAGGGGAAAACATCAAAAAAACTTAGCAGGATATATTATAGTAACTTTTTTATTTCCTTATTAATTTGATTTGATGTCCTGTAATACTCCCACTGTCTTGTTTTGACTGATTAGACTCTGTTCCATTCTGTATGGTAGTATCAAGTTTGAGGGTATAGGCAACTACTTTGAAGGCAATAAGATTCACTATGATGCCCATTCTGGTTTGACTATTATCTTCTTTGGAAGCCCTGTAATGTTTACAAGGTTTAGGTTTTTTTGGTCTTTTGTCTACTGTTTTGTTCAACTTTATAATACCTAATGATATAGATAATTCTTTTTAAGGAAGCAAGAGGCATTATGGTAACCATTGTTGATAACCTTGTACTCTGTTTTTACATCATGTGCTACGTCTCTCCTTGGTTTTGACTGATAGCTTTGTTTTGCCATATTTGACTTTATTCTCTTCCAAAAAAAGTAATAAGAACTATGGAGTAACACAATCCAAAATGTGTAAGTTTTGTTGTAAAAAAAAGAGAGGAAAAAAGTGCTCTAAAGGATCCAACTACAAGTGTGTTTAGGGGTGTTAAATAGTTGACCATATAAAAGTTTTTGGTTGGATCATTGAACACAACTGTTTGCAGTCTCACTGTTTGAATGTCCACATTGTATGCTTTGATCCTGTGATTGAGCAACTATCTCCAAGATGATAATGTGTAATCTATTAACTGGTGATTACTTACTGTTTTTTTTTTTTTTGTAGTTCTGTATTACTTGTACCCTTGCATTGTATTGTTTTGTTTTTTCTCTTTTTCCTTTTAAATAAAATTAAAAAAATCACACTGTGCCCCTTAAAGACACACAGTTTTCACATGTCAATTAAAGATTAGAAACAAAGGAGCCAAGCAAGCAGGAGAAGTTACAGAAGCACCTAGGGTCTCCCTTTGTTTACCCAGTAGGGAGGAAATATGTGTGTCCTTTTTACAAGGAGATGGGGGCAGGTAGCAAAAAATATTGTGCCAATAACATCCAGGGATATGCACACACTCTGTGTGCAGATTCAGTTATCCCATTCAACTCTGTGAATCTGTCCAATGAATGTATGTTGATGGAAATTACATATGGTTCAAATAAAAATGGTCACTGTGATAGTGGAAAGAGAAAGGTGGGTTCTCCTATGTCTTTCCTGTAAACTTGATGTAAGCCAAAGACTACACCTGGCTCCTTCTCCAAATAAAATCCATGCTTTACATTTCCAGACTCAGACCTCACACACAGAGCTCTTTCTATGCTCTGATCTCACAGAATTTTCTGAACTTGGAAATTTCAGCCTGTATTTTCATGTAAAAGCAGCAATGTTCACATTAAGATTTTAGAAACTCCTTTGGGAATGTAAATGATATGATGACATTGATAAATCTTGGCAGAGAACAACCTGGACATCAGGGAGCCAATATCACTCCCGAGGATAGAAAGACAAACACAAGACAGGGCCACTCTTCTGGTCCACAAGTGCCCAATTAGCTGCCCTGAGAGCCCAGTCCTCCTCTGGTTTCTGCCCTAGCTCCTTCCACTCCTAATGAGCTTTGGGAGCTGGGCTCCCAGCTGGGGACATATTCCTCATGACCAAATACTTGTAGGGAACTCACAGAGGTCTTCGCCTCACATAGTGGGAGACTCATTGCCAATGAAACAGGACAGGAATGCTTCTGCCCAACCAAAGGGAAGGGCATGATGGAGGAGCTGGTTTGACAGTAGACACCTGGAGCAGATGTCCCAGGATAAGCAAGGATTTCTGCAAGGGACCATTGATCACACCGGCCAGGCTGTGACCTAGGGGCACCTGGAGAGAAGAACAGCAGTGTGGGGTGTCACTCTGGCTTTTATGGAGTAGGCGATGGTGTCAGCCTCTTTTCAGACCTACATGGTGCCAGGTTATGCTACAACCCAGAGTTGGGGTGGTGGAAAGCAGCTGTTTCCCCCTGGCTCTCTTCTGGGGGTTCATAGACAGGGATGCCAGCTAGCCAACATTCTGACATGACTTTTGCAGTCGGGGAGGTGAGTGACAATTCCCTTATATTCCTTGTGACCAAATGGTATTCTGGGCATAGAAACCTTTAGACAGACCCTGGGTGTTCAGCACAGAGGTGCATGTCATCTTCTCTGGGACAGTGGACCCTGAATGCAAGCTTATTTCTCACCTTTTCTTCCTAGCTGAAATGAGCTCATCATTGCTAAGAGCACACAGCTGCAGAGAATGGAACACACGTGATGTTGCCCTTGGGACCCTGACAATCCAGTGATGCTTCTGTTTTCACCAAGTGAAAGTAAGTGTCCCCCAGGCCTCACCAGGCCCGGCAACTCAAAAGTAAGCAGCACACTTGGAGAACCCCACCCAGGGAAGCTTAGCGAGAGACTCTCCACCCATGTTGCCAGCCATTGGCACAGTGCTGAGATGAGACAGGGATACCTCCTCCTAAGAGTAGGAGTCTAAGGAGAGGACAGAGAGCAGAGATGTTCAGTGAGCATGCAGTGAGAAGTGGTCAAGGTGCCAGTTTCCTGCAGTGGTGACTGAGCCTGTGCAAACTGTCACTCCCCAACCCTGACCGGGCCTTACTTGGGAATGCCAACTAGATCCCACAGCCACATCGTATGTCATGTCAATGAGTAACATAGTTTCCAGCCACCTTAGAACAGAATTGTGCTAAAGCAGATCCTCAGGAAGACCCAAGGTGTCTCTGAGGTTCACATCAACTGCATGATGAAGGCTGCCAAAAGTCAGGTGCGTGTAGGATTACTCCCATGGAAGTGTGACATTGTCCCCACAACGGGAAATACTTTCCCACAGCATTTGTAAATAGTAGGACATTAGATTCAGTGGAAGCATGTTTCAAATCACAGCTCCTCGTGTTCTTTCTCTGTGGCCTAAATGGCCTGGTCTCTTTTGGCCTCTATTTCTCTTTCTACAAAAGAAGGAGTGGGGCGAAACTAAGTGTGCAGGAGAAGTACAGAAGTGGGGATTAAAGGGATTGCTGAGTGTGATGAAAGTCTTAACCGTGTGACAATGATAATGATGATGTGATTATGATTTGGACCAAAGAACTTGGTGCAATCAAATTCTCCTAATCTTAACATTATGCTTCATCTATTAATGCATGACTTTGTAGAATACAACAAAATGTTTTGTAATCAGGTCAGTACCAATAAGCCTACGTGCAGAACAGACTACAAAAAATGTCCTAATTATGCTCTTACAGAGTGCACTCTTGAAGAGTGCACAGGTAACACTACCTGACATAGGTCACCAGGATTTCTCTTATTTAATTCTCACTGAACCCAGGCAGTCAGGTCTTGTCATCCTCTTCATTTACAGGAAGTGCTGTAGATTTCACAGAGCATCACCACTTTTTTAGAGACAGCCCTGCTATTGAGAGTGGGCAGGTGTGGTGTTCACTTCTTCTGACCCCAGCCCTGTCCGCATGGTTGTTCTGCACAGCCTTCTTCCAAGGCCGCCAGATGACTTGATATTCTGCTGCCCCAAATGGCACGCTGTCTCTGCTCTCTTTCCTATAGGTTGAGATGGGTGGGAAGGAGATTCCTGTGTGAATGGAGAATAGCACAGCTGTCCGGGAGTTCACCCTGGAGGGCTTCCCTGCAGTCCAGCACCTGGGGAAGGTCCTCTTTGCAGTGCACCTGCTGGCTTACCTGGCCTCCATGGCAGGGAATGCTCTCATCATCATCATCACCTGTGTTGCTCTTCGCCTCCAGACGCCCATGTACTTCCTCCTCAGCACCTTCTCCTTTCTTGAGTGCTGCTTCACTAGTGCTGTCATTCCCAAGTTGCTGGCCATCTTCCTTTCAGGCAGGCAAAGGATTTCCTTTGCAGCCTGTCTCATACAAGCCTTTGTCTTTGTCTCTGTGGGAGCCACAGGCTTCTTCCTCATCGCTGTGATGTCAGTGGATCGCTACATGGCCATCTGCATGCCTCTGCGCTACCCCACCATCATGAACCTCAGCACCTGCTCCCTCCTCATCACCGCCTCCCTATCAGTGGGCTTTGCACTCATCACAGGGCTCATAGTGAAGGTTTCCCGATTGTCCTTCTGTGGCCCCAGTGTCATCCCTCACTTCTTCTGTGACCTCGGCTCTCTCATCCATCTCTCTTGTTCAAACACCAGATCTACTGAAATGCTGGCCTTTGGCTTAGCTCTGCTCATCCTGGTTGCATCCCTCCTGGTAACCATCATCGCCTACAGCAACATAGTGGTGACAATCCTGCGACTGCCCTCAGCCCATGAGCGGAAGAAAGCCTTCTCCACCTGTTCCTCTCACCTCATTGTCCTCTCTCTGATATACAGCAGCTCCATCTTCATCTATGTGAAGCCAAAGCAAACCAGCAGGCTGGACTCCAACCGAGAGGCTGCTCTCGTGAATACGGTGGTGACCCCACTGCTCAACTCTGTCATTTACACCCTGTGCAACAAGCAGGTGCACCAGGCACTGAGAGAGACAATGTGCAGAATGAAAATGTCAACATAATAAATGACATGGCATTGGAGTGGAGGTGTCATAAAGCCATTTGTCCCCATTGTAAAAAATGCACAAATCACATCACTGCAAGCAATCTGAGCAGAGCTCCCTTGGCCTTCAGGTCATATCCCGGGAAAATATCTCTGCTTTCCTGTGTCTACACTGTACAGAATTTAAGTGAATTAATCATTTTTCCTCGTGGACTTACTTGTCAACTATTAAATTATCTTCCTTAACACCAATATTTCTATAAATAATGATCACACTGAGATATTTATAAATAAATGCACGCAATTGGAGAGCACACTTATAAGTGAAATAAATCAAACTCACATGTATAAATACCGTATAGTCTGCCTAGTGTAAAAAAATGGTAAGCATTCATAAGATTTTATGGTAATCATGATTTCCCCTTACATTGCTTTGAAGTGTTATAGTGTTATTATTCATTACTTGGAATGGTTCTATTCTGTTTTTTTTTTTTTATTTCATTATGTGTGATGGTATGAACAGCTCTTTTTAAGAAAACAAGACATTATGATAGCCATTGCTGATTTAATATCATCTTGCTTTGAAGTCCTATCATACTTTTGGACTTCTGTATCCGTTGGTTCTATCATGTTGTGTCTTGTTGGATCTTAATATATTTGTTAGTATAGACAAATATTTATGGAAATGAGATAATATAGTAGCCATTGTTCATTATTTGTTATTTGGTTCTGAATGTCCTGTAACACTTTCAATCTCTTTAATGGTTTTATCCTATTTTCTTATATTTTATACTATTGTATGTGAATGTATGCTCAGCTCTTTTAAAGAAAAAGATATTATGGTAGCTACTTTAATATCTGGTTATCTCGTGTTGAAGTGATGTGTTGCTTACATTATTTTGTTCTAATCTGCTTAGAACATCTGTTTTGTCCTCTTTTGTTTTAATCTCTTTAAAATGAAAAATAGAAAAAAAAAGAATAAAACAGTTACATTTCCATTATTCAGTCCTTAAACTTTGTGAGATTCAGAAACCCTATTTCTATTTTATATCTCTAGGAAATGCCTTTTAAAAAACTGCCACTGCTCCTCTGTTGTTTTCTGTTTAATACAAACACTTTGGCTAATGACAAAATTTTATCAATCGCTTTCTGCATCATGATTGTATCATACCAGGTCGTAAGCATCATATTACAAAGTTCATATTTCAACTTATTGACAAGGAAAATGTAACCAAAGTATCTCAAAATCAGATATGTTTTATGGTTAGCTTTACAGTACCTGCTGTGACACTGTATGAATATCTTCTCAAGGTGAAAGAGGAAGGTGGGGAGAGGTTGCTTCCCAGACTATGTGTGAGACAGAGAGAGACAGAGAGATGATTGGAACAAGTGATCTTGGTCATGGGATACAAGGGAATCAAAGGTGGATCGGTTTGCCCATGACAAGTACTGAGTTTTAAACCAGGTGCTGTCACCAACTAATCAGTCAACTTCCAAAGCACTTAACTCAGCTGATCTACAGTATGTGGTGAAGACTTAGAATCAAGCTGTATTCATCATCAGAAGAAAATGTGATGTATAAATAGATGAAAGATAGATAGATAGATGGATAGATAGATAGATGGATAACATATAGACACATGGTAGACAGACACCAGATCATTCCACCAAGTGCTTAAATATTAGTCACTTGCAACAATATGGTTGCACCTCGAGGATATTATATTAAGCATAATGAGCCCGATGCAGAAGGATAGGTGCCACATGATCTCTCTGATGTGTGGTTTCCCAAAAGCTTTGACCCCATAGAATTTAGGAGTGGAATCATGATTAGCAGAGGCAAGAGAAGCAGGGGACACAGTAGGGTGGGGACAGGCTGGTCCACAAATGCAAAGCCACAGTAGACAAGAGATCAAGATTCATATTGCAAAGAGAATGTATTCTGTGTTTTGAAACAGCCAGAATTAAAAACTCTATTTCACCATAAAGAAACAAAAAATTTCTGCGGAGAACGATGCGCCAGTCACCTTCACTTTACCATATAACATGTAGGTATCCAAACATCACACCATGCTTCATAAATATATACAGTTATCATGTGTTAAAAATAAAATATAACACAAGACAAAAGAAAACTCATTGCTTAAAAATGGAATGTACATCCCAATGGTTGTTGTGATACTTACAAAGTTGTGCACCCATCATCATGAACCCCAGAATTTTTTTTTCTTTAGCGGTACCAGGGATTGAACTCACGACCATGCGCTTGCAAAGCAGGCACTTATGCCACTGAGCTAAATCCCTAGCCATAGCCCCAACTCCAGAATATTTTAATCAACCAGAACAGAAAGCTCAAACCCATTGACAGTCTTTCCACAATGTCCCTTTTATCCAAATTCTGACAGCCACTAACCACTTCCTATCATTGGAGGTTTGCTTGTTTTGCATTTTCCATAAATGTCATCATAGAACATATGGCCTTTTGTACTTGGCTGCATTTATTAAAATAAAAATTATGAAGCTCACCCACACCATCAGTCAGGTCTTTGTACCATCTCATTTTTCCTTTAGCAGTATGTTGTATTGTCTTTGTACTCAGAGCCTCTACATGGTGGTGCAACTTGCAACATATATTAAGTAGTTAATGAAATTTGTTGCTTAAGAAATTATTTGGGTAATTTTTATGCAGGTGAGTTTCACAAGAAGCAGAGTTAACCAGTTTAAGTTGTGCAAGTCAGTGCCATTTAGTTCATTAGGTGATGTGCAGCTGACTCTCTCTGGTTGCAAGAATATTTTTTTCACTCCAATACACTCTGCATTCGCTAAGTAACCCCTACAAGTCTTTTTTCTCCCATGTGCTACCAACTGTTAATCAGTTTTCTGTCTATGGATCTGCGCCTTTTGAATATTCCACATAAAAGAATTATATTATACATGATCAATGGTGTCTGGATTCTCCCACACTAACAAAATGTTTTCAACGTGTGGTGTAGTGGCATCGGGCAACAGTTCCTTTTTTCCTTCTGTGAACATATTGCAGTGCATAACCGTACCTTCTTGCTTTATCCTTTCCTGCGTTTGGTGACACTCAGGCTGCTTCCACTCTGAACATCATGCAGTGCTGATATCAGGATCCACGAACAGGTGTCCAGGTGCCTCAGGTTTTTACTAATCTTGGAACTCTACCTAGGAGTTGAGCTGATATTAACCGTATGTTTAACTGTCTTCAGTACCATGAAAGAGTATTCCAAAGTACCTGTATCATACCTGACTAGCAGTCAGGAAATGTTTAAGATTATTCAATTCTCACCCACACCTGCTGTTTTTCATTTTCCTGATTGAATTCAAAATTCATTAACACTCCGTATATAGGAGTTCATATCACGCATATAACAGGGTGAACTGTACGTGTGCACTGGATACCCTGGGGTGACCAGCATCCTGTCAATCATATCCCCAGAAACTTAAGGAGAGGGACTCTAAATGGGTGCACACTTTTTACATCCAAAACCTGATTTACCTTTTTTCTACTCTTCTAACCACTTCTTTCCCTGCTCTTTTTGCCTTTATGTCACTGCTGGCACACTGAGCACAGCTGTGCCACCAACTTAAATAAATACAGCTATGTGTTCTTTTGCCATTGTGTGTATACTTGCATGTTTTTGCCCATATGCACAAGAATTTAGACTATATCTATCAGGAAACCATTATAGATTGTATCACTCTCCTGCTGATTGACATACAGTTCACCTCCAGTATTAGCTATGACGAATTATGCCACTGTAATCATGGGTATGCCTAGATCACTGTGATAGGGTGTCTTTAGTTCTTTGGAGGAGACACCTAGAATGGAAATAGCCCGGTGAAATAGAGTTTCTAGCTTTAGTTCTTGGAATAATGTCAGTATTGGAATGCTGTTTTCCACCCTTTGATATTCAGTCTATGAGATCATATTTTGGGTAAAATGTGTTATTTTATACAGCATACTTTTGGACTTTGTTGCATTCTGCCAATTTATGTCATTTGATTGTGGACCTGAGGCCACTGACACTGAGAGTTATTGCTGAACATTACTGATTTATTCCTGTCATCATATTATTTCTCCATTGATCATTTGCCCCTTTTCCCCCTCTTCTACTTATCTATTCACTCTTATTTTCCGTGGCAATTTTGATAGCCTTGCAGAGTGTATCAGCCTGGGCTGGGTGCTGTTTACTTTAGGGCCTTCAAATGCTTCACTCCAAGCTCTTTTGGTTTTTAAGGTTTGCCTTGAGAAATTTTCTGTCGTTTTACTGAATTTAACTTCATGAATAATATTTTGCTTTTTAGCTTTGGTCATTTTATCAGACTGAGATTTTGACTATGATGTGTCATGAATCCCTTTCCTTATTGTGGTTATTTGGGGTCCTAGGTGACTCATTTTTCTGTTTGTTTAATTTTTCCCTCATATTTGGAACATTTTCTAGTATCATTTCTGTAGACAGAAATTTTTAGGCCATTTGTGCTGTTTTCTTATTTTTCCTTAGTTTCAATTAATTTTAGGTTATTCTTCTTTATATTATCTATCAGCTGTTGGATCTATTTCTTGTGTTATTCTATTGTTTTAGGGTATCTCTGAATAATCAGTCTCTAACAGCAGCCCTGTCTCCTACTTCTGATACTCCACCCGCATATTTTCAAAAGAATTTTTAATCTTTTGAATTTCTGTCTGGTAACTTTTCACGGACTCTTGTTCTTTGCTAAACTCTTTCATATTTTGTATCATTTTGTTTAACTAGGTTGACTTTTTACTAATGTCTTTTCTAAGCTTGCTGATCCTTTTCTTTATTATGTCTATTCTCTGATCGGTTGTGTCTTCTTTGAGCTCAGCAAATACCTTATTTACCTGTTTTTTAAATTCTTTGTTATTGTTTTAAGTAATACTGCCATATACCTTTTGATTTCCTCCCTTTAATGCCCCATAGAGCAACTTTGGGGGACTTGTGGGTTTTCAAAGGTACAATGGTGCTTTGGTTCATA